GCGGCCCGCCGTCATTTTTCGAGGGCTCCGGGATGATGACTTGGCAGTTCCAGGCGCCGCAAGCGAAGGAGGGGCGGTTGAAGCGCGCCGTGCTCAGGCTGCCCTGGTTTCAGAGCCCCGAATCATCAGGGGTAACTCGGGTCAGGGATAACTCGGGTTCGTTTTTCGGGAAGCCGAACCCGACTTACCCCGGGCCCGAGTTACCCCGGATAGCTCGGGCGTCCAGAGCCCCAGAATCATCAGGGGTAACTCGGGTCAGGGATAACTCGGGCTCGTTTTTCGGGAACCCAAACCCGAGTTACCCCGGGCCCGAGTTACCCCGGATAATTCGGGCGTCCAAGATGACTTGGCAGTTCCAGGCGCCGCAAGCGAAGGAGGGGCGGTTGAAGCGCGCCGTGCTCAGGCTGCCCTGGTTCCGAGCTGAGTCGACCGGCAAACTGCGCCTTGCCGTGGGGGCCGCGCTGAAGAACGGGGATATCTCTGGGGCGTCGTAAGTTTTGAAGAACGCCCTCGCAACCATGCGCGGCGTCGACTTCGCAACTTTCGCAGAGCACGGCGGCGCCCCCCTGGCGCGCGAGGGCGGCGCGGACCCCCCCGGCCAAGCAACGACAGAAGAGCGGCGCGCCCGTCATTCATTCGAGGAATACGACTTGGGCCGCCATCCAGAGCAATCCGAAGTAGAGCGAGGCGTCGGAGTAGCTGGGTCTGAGCGCGGGCAACTTCGCGCGTCGTGGCTGGCTGCCACAGACCGCGTGCCTACCGTGGGCTGAGGATGGCCAGGCGGAAGATGACCCCTTCGAAGTGCGATTCGAACAGAAACAAAACCGAAATTCAGCTGGCCGCACCTGTGCTCTCGTACATATTCGCGCGTGGCGTCTTTTTTCCTTGCGGCCGGCCTTTTCGAATGCGCGGTTAGCTTGGCCATGGCGCGGCAGTCTCTCGCGCGCGCCTGCTGGCGCGGGCGTCTGAGCGAACGGCGCCGTGCGTTTCGCATTTTCGCATTTTTCTAATTTTTTAATTTTCTCCAGTGCGTTTCGCGCGCGCCAGCCCTGGCGCCGACGCCGCCATTTCCCGCGGTGAACATGCGGCGGTCTGACGTTGTATCTGCGGAGGTTCACATCGAGCCAGAACGGTCCACTCAAGTATGTTATCATTTGCTTCCATCATAACCATCGACTTCGTTGTCGCCGACAGTCCGCCTCCTTCTTCACGTCGCTGGCGTGTCCTCATTGGTTCGCGCAGGCACAATCCCTCGCCCCCTCCCCCCTGCCCTTCCCCTCCTAATTTTTTCCTTCTCAATCCGCATTGGTGGTCCCTCCTCCTTTTCTCTTCCCGTCTTCCGTCGTCTTCTCTCCCTCTCTCTCCCCCCTCACCCACCCCGCTTCCGCTTCTCTCCTCCTCCTTCCTTCTCTCGCCCCCCCCCCCCCCCGCCGATTCGCATCCCAGTTTATTCATTTAAGCTGTGATAATTTACTGCGTTGCGCGCCCCCAGTGGGCATTCCATTGCATTATCTCCTCCCCCTCTTTCCTTCGTTGCCTTCCCGCCTTCCCTTCGCGCCCCCCTTGCCGTTCCCCCCGCCATTCCTTCCGGGCGCCCCCTCCCCCCCCCCCCTGCAGCCGTGCTCCTCTATCGCGCCCCCCCTGTTTTCCATCGCGCCCCTCCTTCCCGCGAGGTCCTATGAGGCCATGTTGGGGGGCCCTCAGGGAGAGGGCCCGCGGCTGGGGTTTTGGTGGGCGGCGGGGATTCGGCAGGAATTTTGCTGGTGGCGTTTTGTAGGGAGGGGCGGCAGCTTTGCGGGGGGCGGCGGCTGGGCGGCGGCGGGGCGGCGGCCGGTGCCGGGCCGGGGCATTGCCGGGCGGCGGCCGGGAGTTGGCTTGGATTGTTGCCTGGCAGGGGCCCGCGGGCCTCAGAAGCGCGTCTGCAGCGAAATATTGGCGCGCGGCTTGTTTTGGTCAGGGCCTTCGGCTTACTGATGCTCGCGCCCGGTGCCCTCGTGCCGTAGCGGGCTGCGTCTACAGCGCACTTGACATTAGAACTTCGCATCTCTGTGACACTTGCGCTTCGGCTTCACAGCGATTCTGCGCCGTTGCGGCATCGTTGTTTCGACGTTTTTCCTGCTTCGCAGTCGCGCTGCGTGCGCGGCGGCGCGCGCCCCTGTTCTGCGTCGCAGTCGCGCTGCGCTGCGTTGCGGCGGTTTTGCGTTGACGCGCGTCCGTGTTCTCTGCTTTGCAATCGCGCTGCGCTGCGCGGCGGTATCTTTGTTTCGAGGCGCGGGCGTGCCTTTTTCTCCGCGGGCGCGTGCGTGTCTGCGGCTATTCTATTGCAGTGGCAACGCCCTGGTTTGTCGAGCCCGATGGGGATGCGTTGCCCCCCCTTCGTTCGACGCGGTCGCCCGGTTGCGCGGCGCGGCGTAGCGCTGCAGCTTCTTGTCGCTTAGCCGCGCTACAGCAGGCGGCGAAGCGCCGCGCCCCCGCCTCGCTGCTTAGTTCTCTCGCGGCTCGGCGGCGTCCAGCGCCGCGCGGCAAGCTGTGCCCTGCGAGCGCGAATTATAAAGTTGGGCGCGTCCAAGACCCCCATTCCGCCTTCCCTCCAACCGCCCCCCCTCCATCCCCGCTCCTTGTCCTTTCCCCCAGCTGTCTCGACGCAGCGCCGCCGCTGCGCCGCTGCCCTTCTCCGCGAGTCTGCAGTCTTCGGCGCCCTCTCTCGCTTCGGGAGGGCTGTCCCGCGGCGGGGCTGCGGCCGTGCGAGCGCCGTGCTGCTCCTGGCTTTTCTCTTGGGGGGGGGCCTTTCGACGCGCGCTCGCCTGGGCCTCCTCACCATGGGCACTAGAGCGAAGCCAGGCACGCGCTCAACCTTTCCGTCGGGCCCCAGAGCGAGCCTGCAAAGTTCGCACGGGCGTTGCGCCGGCGCCCAACTGGCTGCCACGCGTGTTCGTTCGCGCGGGACGCGCTTGCTCGCCTTGCCACCCGAGTGAGCGACACGGTTTCAGAGCCCCGAATCATCAGGGGTAACTCGGGTTCGTTTTTCGGGATTCCGAACCCGATTTATCCCGGACCCGAGTTACCCCGGATAACTCGGGCGCCCAACGGTTTCGCGGAGAAACGCGAGCAAGGATGAGGCGCGCCGTCCGTTGCGATCTGACGGGGGGCATGATTGCGTTCGTGGCGGTCCCCGGCGGCGGTCCGGCCCGCAGAAAATTGTTTGCTTGCGGGCGGCGGCTTTCTGCTTCGTCAACGCGGGAAGGGTTTTTCACCACCTACCAAACCACCCCAACCCAACCCGAAGGCTCAGATTTACCCTCGATTTCTAGTGGGGGGGGGGTCGGGAAACATAGAAAAAACACGCGTGGAACCCTTACCCCCCCCCCAACCCGAAATTCGGGTCTTCGGGTTGGGTTGGGGTGGTCTGGTAGGTAGTCAGTTTTGCCTCCGATCCAGTCTGTCCCGCTTGCCTCACGTGTGCCAGTTGCCTTGTTCGTGTGAGTGCGGCAGCGCTGCGAAAACGGGGCAAGTGGGGCAACCGGGGCAGGTGGGGCAGGCGGGACACGCTGGGCGAGCAGGGCACGCGGGAGGGCACGCGTGCAGCAAGTGGGGGGGGCACTGGGCAATTCAGTGGGTAGCGTGCAGATCGCGATACGTTTTTCAGAGCGTGAAATACCTACCCCGCTTTCGCTTCCAGGCAAAACCAAGTCATACCACGCGCCTCCTCGTCAAGCGGCCTGACCAGTACAGGCCGTAGTTTGGCATCGTTTGGTATCTCTTGGAAGCGAGGGTGGTCAAAAGCGAGGTAGGTTTGTTTGCCCCCTAGTTTTGCGCGTGGACTGCACATGTCGGTAGGCCTCGAAAGGAAGTGCGCAGGACTGCCGGCATGGCCGCCAGAACGTATCCCGTAGGCAGACAAGCGCCTCGCGTGGGGCCGAAAACGCTGGGACCACAGGGGTGCGCATTGAGAAATCGGGGTGGCGCAGTCCCGATGTGCGGAGGAGGATGAAGAGGAGGAGGAGGAGGATGAGGAGGAGGAAAACGAGGAAAAGGAGGAGGAGGAGGAGGAGGAGGAGGAGGAGGAAGGGGAGGAGGAGGAAAATGAGGAGGAGGAAAAGGAGGAGGAGGAAAAGGAAAAGGAGGGGTTTCCGCCCCACGCCCCCCCGATCCCCCCGTCCGAGCTCCGGCTATCGGCTTGCCTGTTGCTTGGGGGCCTTAAGCGGATCCGCCCGGCAGGTTTCTGCCTGCTGGGTACGAACTGCCCGCTGCGGCACCCTGAGGATATGCCGGCCCTGGGGAAGAGGTGGGTGGGGTAGCAGGAGTGGCGGGGGTTGCAAGGCAAAGGATTGAAGAAGAGGGCAAGAAAACAAACATAATAATAGAGAGAAAAGGAGGGGGAGAGGGAGGAGGAGGAGGAACGAAGAAACATTCAGACAAACGAGGAACAAACGAGGAGGAGGAGGGCGAGGAGGACGAGGAGGAGGAGGAGGAGGAGGAGGAAAAGGAACGACAAACGGTAGACAATGGTGGAGGTTTCGGAGCGGTGTCTTGGAACATGTTTTTTTTCTGTGGGGGGCTGGAGGGAAAAGGGAGGCAGGGGCAGGAGAGGCGGCGACCAGCCAACGCCACCTCATTCCGCAGCACCCGTTTCCTCGGCCGTTTCCTCGTCATCCGTTGTCTGTTCTTTTTGTTCCTTCCTCCTTCTAATGGTATCGACGGCTCACGCTGTTCCTCCTACTCGGATTCCCTAGTTGTTGTTCCTCTGTACTTGTTTCTCTCCCCTTGATTATGAGGCTTCCGCCACACCGCCGACCCCATGGGCTTCGCCTTGTTTTCCGAGCAATTCATCAATGCCGCCATGGAGCACCGCCTGCCACCGTTAGCCTCCCGTGGCCAGTGGAGCCATAGGCATAGGTCAACCTGGTGGCGGTTACCGGCGCTCGCGTCTGCTGTTCATTGATGTATTTCAGTTGTGGCTTGTTGGATTGTTGGAAGTGATTGTTGGAGCGTTTCAGTCGCAGTGAAGTGTTGATAGTCATGGTGTTGCTATGGTCATGGTGCCGTGCGTAGAGGCCCCGTTGGTCTCTTGATGTTTCGTGAGGTGCCGGGCTTTCTGTTTCCGAAAACACATAAGTGCGTCTCCGTAGGAGGAGGAGGAGGAGGAGGCGGAGGCGGAGGAGAAGAGGGAGGAGGAGAGGGAAGGTGAGGGAGAAGGAGGAGGATCAGGAGGAAGAGGAGCAGGAGCAAGCAAGCAAACCTCGGGGAATCCACATCCGTCCTTCTCTGACGAAGCTACACAGCTATCGCCAAGTACCCTACTCGAGTGCAGGTGGATTCTGAGACGGGGTAAAGCCACCCCAACGCGGAGGAAACAAGAGAAAGGCTCCGGAAACCTTGCCTGCTCTCCCCTTCGGGGCACAGGCCCGCGAGCAACCTCCCTAAGGCACGCAACCCTACAGGAGGCGCCCACTCAGGCGCGAGAGCCTCGCCCGCCATCGCGTCGTCCGCGCCCACCACGTCTGCCTGGCGCGCCACGACCGTGGCCAGGTAAAAGCACCAGCGGAGCAGCAGGCATAGCTTCGTCGGCATAGCTGCTTGCCGGCACGGCTCCCGATCGCGCCCTCGCTGCGGTCTCGGCACTGCTGCCGTCTCGCGCCTCCAGCTCCGCCAGTCGTGCCGAGCTGCTGCAAAGCTGCCCCCGTCGCCTGTCCGTGCCTCCTACTGTCGGGGCGCTGAAGAAGGAACCCTTTTCGTTGGGGAGGGGCTCGGTGTTCCTTGATTGTTTCACAGCTTGCCTCAGGTTTTCCTTATGTTTTCGATGGGAAACCGAAGTTTCACTTGTGGAAAAAAGGGGCCTCGTTCCTTATTTAGGGTTCCTTAGGTCAAGGCCCCGACTGTACACGGATCGCCGGGGCGGAGTGGTCTACTTCGCTTTCAGGGTCCTGGCTTGCCGCTGCAGTTCTGTCTTCTCTGCCCACAGCGGCGGTGATGGGACGTTTGCGGGGCAGGCCCGCATGCGTGCTCTCTGCTCTGCTCTGCTCTCTCTCTCTCTCTCTCTCTCTCCTTGACTTGTTGTTGCCTTGAGCTTATTTCTATATATATATATATATATGTTAACAATAAAAAACGACTGTACGCGGATCGCCGGGGCGGAGTGGTCTACTTCGCATGGTTGACCATCTTCGCGATCTCCCTCTCGAGGGGGGCCTCTTGCGGGCCGGGCCGTGGACTGCCGTCGCCCCCCCTCGCAGTCCAGCGCCTTCGTGGTGCAGGGCCTGCGCATGGAGGCCAGCCTCGTGTCCTAAAACGACGCGAAGATCGGGACAAAATCGGATCGGGATAACTCGAAATCTCTGAGAATCGGCGGGTTTGGAGGATGTATTGGGCGCCGCGGCCGCTCCAGAGCGTTCCGGAACGCTCTGAGAGCGCTCCGGAACGCTCTGGAGCGATTTGTCCCGATCCTGGCCCTGTTTTATGTCCCTGCTGACGTTCGTGGTGGTGAGGCACTGCTGCTCCTGGCCCTCCTCCTTGCGCAGCGGCTTCAGCCTGAAATAGTAGAGCACCGCCTCCGCTATGCTCCCCATGTCGCTCGACGCGATGTGGTTCTCCCAGCACTGCTCGGCCTCGAGCGCGTTGGTCTGCTCCTCGTCCTGGCCTTCCGCTGCCGTGCGCTCCGCCACGTACTGGAACGCCGCCAGGAAGACGTGGATGTGTGGCGGCCCGCGCTGCGTGTACTGCTCCTGCGTGGCGCTGGCCGACCTCATCGCCTTGCTGCCCTCCTCGTACTTTTTGCCCGCCTTCTGCATGGCCGCGGCGAGCCCCCGCGCGAGGCGGCAGCATGTACGTCACGCACACAGCCGCCGCCACGTCGGCCACCGCGCGAGCCTGCGCCAGCACCAGGCGTCCGATCGCCGTCAGCAGCTTCATGAGGTCGTCCGTGTCGCCCTTGTCGCCCTTCCTGCCCTTCTTGGCGGCCACGCCCTCGTCCGCTCCCCGCGCTGCCGCCTGCACCCCGAGTCGGGAGGCTGCGCCACGATGGCATCTGCAGCGACATCACTGTCGAAGGTTCGCGTGCGGTGGTCAACCGGGAGCGGGCACTCCAGCCTCAAGGTCGTCGGGAGATGGCTGAGGAGATGGCTACAGATCAGAGCGTGAAATACCTACCCCGCTTTCGCTTCCAGGCAAAACCAAGTCATACCACGCGCCTCCTCGTCAAGCGGCCTGACCAGTACAGGCTGCAATTTGGCATCGTTTGGTATCTCTTGGAAGCGAGGGTGGTCAAAAGCGAGGTAGGTTTGTTTCCCCCCTAACAGAGGGCGGGGAGATCCCCCGCAGCATAGCAGCATAGCGGGCACCGAAGGGTCCTGGGCTCTCGTAAGGTCTCATTGCTCCTCGGTGTAGCTCCCAAGAGGCCCTTGTCGCATCGGCCCCTCCGAATCGCCGCCTCCAAATGACGTGCGGCCGTGATACGCGTCTTAAACACCTGGCGACATCCACTGCAAATGTTCGTCGGAGTCAGGACATGCGATAGGTTATGGAGGTGATGGAGAATGGAAGAGGTGGAGGAGCAGGAGGAGGAGGAGGAGGAGGAGGAGGATGAGGAAGGCGCAGGGTGCATGTTTGGAGCTCGTAGGGCAATGGCATGTGCAGGCCCACGTAAGACTTGTGGAGGCCTCTTTGGGGTAGGGCCCCCGTGAGATTTGTGGAGGCGTCGTGGGGGCACATTGACGCCTCTTGGGGGCTTCGTGAAGCCTCTTGGGAGCGACTTGGGCCGTCTTGAGACGCTCTGGAGCCGTCTGGCGCCTTCGGAGTCCGTTTTGGTGGCCTCTCTGGGGCCGTTTTGGAGGCCAGACCGTCTTGGGGCCCTCTTGATTGTTTCGTTGGCCGCCTTGAGGACCTCTTGGAGGCTTGGGCTGTCTGGGGGCGACCTGCAGGGCCTCTTGGGCCGTGTTGGGCGCTGTCAAACGAGAACCTTACCATTCTCACTGAATATGGCCCTCGTGGGGGTCCTCTTGGAGCTTTCTGCGGGCGTCTTGGAGGCTTCTTGGGCTGTCTTGAGGTCATCCTGGGGCGTCCTGGGGGCCACCTGGGGCCACGTGATGGCCATGTTGGGCCGTCTCGGGGCCTTCTGGCTACATGCCGCGAGGCCGCGCGAGGCCGTCCGGGAGCTCTTCTGGAGCAGCCGGGCCTGTCAGGCGTTTCTCGCCACTCCCCCCCAAGCGTCTTCCAAACTCAAACCGGCAGGACCGGGCTCACGGGGCAGTCTCACGCGCCAGGTAGACCTCAAGGGATCGGCGAGTGCCTGCCTGCAAGCAGTGGCGAAGCGTCATGGTTCGCTCGTAGACCCGCCAAACAATAATGTAAGAACATGTTGCGGTTTGCTCGGGATGCTTTTAGAACGCTATTGGTTGAGACTGTCTTGTTTTCATGCATGGGATTAATATTGTAAGGACATTGTTTTGTTCTTAGAACATGTTGGGGTTCTAAGAATATGCCGTGGTAGGCCTGTAAGAAGGCCGGGACGGTCGGTCCATGCTCAATGTATGGGCGTCGAGTTTGGGCTTCCTTCTGATCTTCCTGCTGCTCTTCATCCTGTCTCCCCTGCAGCTCCTCAATCTGCTCATCTCCGGAGGAGGAGGAGGGGGATCGGATCGGATCGGGTCGGCATTCCGCGAAAGAGCTGTCAAGCAGCTGCTGCCGGGGGCGTGACATGGCATTCGTGCCACGGCAGGCCTGAGGAGGAGGGGGAGGAGGAGGAGGAGGAGGAGGAGGAGAAGGAGGAGGAGAAACATGAGGAGGAGGAGGAGAAGGAGGAGGAGAAGGAGGAGGAGAAACAGGAGGAGGAGGAGGAACAGGAGGAACATGAGGAGGAGGAGGAGGAGGAGGAGGAGGAGGACGAGGAGCGAAACGACTCCCCCGTTCTCCTGTCGGCGGCGCCGCGCCCAGGGGGGAAGCGACATGGGGCAGGCCTTCCTCAGAAGGCGGCGGGGCTTCTCAGAAACAAGCCGCGCCTGTCTTCGGGGGAGGCTTAGAGCACGAGGCTTTTTATTCATGGTTTTGCCGATCGGCGTGTGCATTTGCACCCCCCCCTCCCCCCCCCCTTTGGAGTAGATCTTGGCTGTTTTGGGCGCCTGTTTCGAGCAGGTGGTGTCTCCCCCGCAGGACGCACTGCTGCAAACAGTCGCACTAAGCAGAGGTCCAGAGCCAGACCCCCCCCCCCTCTCCCCATCCCCTTCCGCCCAATGCCGCAACGCCGAACAAGAGAACGTTCACCTGAGAAGTCACACCCCTTCTCACTTCCCCGCGGGACTCGCAGCCGTTCCTGATCCCCCCCGTCCTCCGAAACCGCCAGAGGAGGCCTCGAGTCTCTGCAAGCCGCCGTCGTCGGCGCCGCCGCTTGCGCCCAGGGCCGGTCCACGAGCTGCTCTTGGTGCTGGGGCGTTCAAGTCACCTCTCCGCCTCCCCTCCTTGGAGCCGGCTGTCACCACACACCAAATCACCCCAGCCCAACCCGAAGGGACCACTGTTCTCTCCATTCCAAGGGGGGGCGCCAGGGAGCATTGAAACACATGTGAAACCTGTACGGTAGGTTCGCGTCGTGTCGACCGGCGGCGACCGTGCCGCCAGCGTTCAACATGGACGCCGGCGGCGGCCCAGAATCGGTCGATGTTGATCGATCTCATGTTTCGGAAACGGCCGATCGTTCAAGGTTGAGCGATCCGCGCGGTGTCAGGAACCAACGCCAGGGTCGACACTGCACGACCTTGCCGTACCCCCACCCGAAGTCAGGGTCTTCGGGTTTGGTTGGGATGGTCTGGTATGCAGTCAGGCCTGGGGACTCGAGGGGGGAAGCACGGGAGCTGTGGCCAAGATGTCGCGGGGTCTTGCCGACGTCGAGTTTGGCCATTGTCCACGTTGGCCGTCGCCGATTCACAAGGACGACCCACGAATTGGCGCTGACCAAGATCAAGGGCTCCCATGAGGGCGCGAAGTTATTCGCGCTTCGCGCTTCGCGGTCCTCGTTCCTTCTCCCCCTCCTCCTCGTCCTCCTTTTCTCCCTTTGGGGGGGCGGCGCGAGGGCGCGAAGTTATTCGCGCTTCGCGCTTCGCGGAGCGCGAAGCGCGAAGTTGGGAGCCCTAGAAGATCGACGGTGACGAAGGTCGAAGGTCGACACGACGCCTCCGCGTGCAGTCTGGCTCGTGGCCCCCGTGCTGTTCCAAGGGCGCCCTCGAGGGCGCGAAGTTATTCGCGCTTCGCGCTTCGCGGTTCGGCTCCGATTCCTCCTCTTCCTCCTCTTCTCCCCTGGGAGGCGGCGCGAGAGCGCGAAGTTATTCGCGCTTCGCGCTTCGCGCAGCGCGAAGCGCGAAGCTGGGAGCCCTTGGTTGTTCCTCTGCAGGGTCCGAGGTGGCCCAGGCTTGGATCTGGCGGGCAGGAACGGGGGGCAGGCAGGCTGGAGGCTCCGGGGACTGGGAAGATGGTTTGCCTTTTTCAGGAGGGGAAAAAACACACAGACACAATTAATCGGCGATTCCCTAGAAAATGTGAGAAAATATGGGAAGTGGGGGGAAGACAAAAACCCAGAAAATATGGGAAAATATGGGGAATCTTTTTATTTGTGTGTATTTGTTTGTGTGTCCCAAGGCCCCTTCAAAGATGTTTTGCCTTTTGTTGGTCTCTGGGGACCGTTGTCAGGCCCAGGGGCCATCAAAAGCAGACGGACCTGCAGGACGGGGTTGGGGACCGACTTTGAGCGGAGTTGCCGTCAGCCTCCCTTCCTGGCCGACGCTCTCGGGGCCCATCCAGTTCGGACCCCCCGACCTCCTCCGGTCCCCTCCCCCCTCCTGTTCCGTCTATCGCGTAATTCAAGGGGCCCAAGGACACACACATAGATACACACAAATAAAATGATTCCCCATATTTTTCCATATTTCCTGGGTTTTTTTGTCTTCCGGCCCAATTCCCATATTTTCCCATATTTTCTTGGGACTCGACGATTAATTGTGTCTGTGTGTGTTTTGTTTCTCTCCTGAGTAATGTGATCCCCTTCCCACCCCTGTGCCTCCCACTTTCCTCCCATCGTCGCCCTGGCCCCTCATCGTCCTTCTTCACCTCTACATCTCGCTCATGGTGCTGGTGGTGTTATGGTTGTGTTCGGTTCCCTGATGTCCGTTTTTGGCACTTCTCCTCCGTGTCCCGCGCACCAGTCTGCGTGTCCCCGTTCCTACGCCTTCTCCTCTGCCGTCATGCGTCCGGTCGTCCCTCGCACCTCTCCTCTGTAACTCGCTTCCTCTGCCTCTTTATCCTTCCTGCCTTGCCCTCCTTGTCTTCTTTCTGCCTCCCCTACGCGTGCCCTCATAATTCCTGCTCTCCTCATTGTTGTAGCCTCCCCGTCAATAGAGGCAGATGCCATGGGAGAAGGTGAGGCGGGGAGGAGCCGGGCGGGGCTGGGACGGGGATAACATCGCTTCAGAGCTTTCCAGAACGCTCTCGAAGGACCGCGGCGACCGATACATCCTCCGGAACCACCGGCTCTCAGAGATTCCCCATTCATCCCTGTCCATGATATCGCTCGGACGTGTGCACTTTTTCTCGGCGGGGATTCTCAAGGAGCATCCTGGATCATCCTGCGAAGAAGCCACGCACGAAACCGAAAATTATCCCAGTGCGACCCTACCTAGGAGTTGGAGCCCCTAGGAAAGCAGCATTATAAGTAACAGTAAAGCTAAGCTAAAGCAACGCTAAACCTAAGCTAAAGCGAAGCTAACCCTAAGCTACAGCTAAGCCAAAGCTAAGCTAAAGCTAAGCTAAAGCTAAGCTACAGCTAAAGCTAAGCTAAAGCTAAGCTAAATCTAAACTAAAGCTAAACTAAAGCTAAGCTAAAGCTAACGCTAACGCTAAAGCTAAGCTAAAGCTAAGATAAAGCTAAAGCTAAACCACATCTAAGCTAAATCTAAGCTAACTCTAAGCTAACACCAAGCTAACACTAAGGTGCAGCTAAGATACAGCTAAGCTAAAGCTAAGCTAAAGCTAAGCTAACGTTAAGTTAACGCTAACACTAAGCTAAAGCTAAGCTACGCCTAAGCTAAAGCTAAGCTGAAGCTAAACTACAGCTAAGCTAAAGCTAAGCTAAAGCTAAGCTAAAGCTGAGCTAAATCTAAGCTACAGCTAAGCTAAAGCTAAGCTAAAGCTAAGCTAGAGCTAAGCTAACTCTAAAGTAAAGCTAAGCTAAAGCTAAGCTAACGCTAAGCTGAGTACAAGCTAACTCTAAGCTAAAGCTAAGCTAACGCTAAGCTAAAGCTAAGCTGAAGCTAAGCTAAAGCTAAGCTAAGAACCCTTCTAGGCAGAGCCTAGGTAGAGAATAACAAGAAAATAAGCTAAGCTAAGCTAAGCTTAGCTTAGCTTAGCAAAGCTAAGCTGGGTGAACCCAGGGGGCGCGACTGGGGGAACCGCGGGGCGGGGACTGGGGGAACCGCCCGGGGCGCTTTCCACTGCCCGGCCCCTTTAAGCTAGAGAGTAAG